TGTTGGTCCTTATCCGAGAAGGCCAGATGAGCAGCAGTAAATGGCTACAGAAAGTCAGAAGCCCAGAGGAAGGGGCAAGAGGGGAGGAGCTGAAAGTTGAGACAAAAGCAGGCGACAGAACATGGATAGAGAGCGGGAAAAGAGGGGAAAGGAGAAAATGTTTTTAAAAGAAAATTGACGTCGCTGTCTGGTTTCGAACCCGGGACCTATTGAATGAGAGGTGAACACTGTACCTTTAGACCCCGAGAGCCCCCTCCCCCCCCCCCCCCCCCCCCTAGACGGATGCAAGGTCAACACCACATTTGCATACAAGATATGGGAGCTTAGCCTCTGGGCTTCAGGATACGCTAAGGAAATTTTGTTCTCCCAACAGATGGAGGAGCAGTCGTAGTAAACAGTTGTATACGTGCAGACCATCAGAACACATTTTGAGTTATGCCTACAGTCCCGTTTGGGTTTTCATGATGTGATGTTTTTGTGGGATTCTGTTTTGTTTGTCTTATTACTTTTGTTAAATGTTAGTTCTAATTTTAGCTAACAGTAGAAACTCTTGAAGAAGAAGATAAACTGCACCAGTCGCAACTGGACTAATCGAAAACCTGCAAACATTTTAAAAATCGACTAAAGCTATCGATAGTTATTCGTCTCCTCAAAGCTAGGCGACATCAAAAATGCATTCTGTTTAACTGCTCTTCAAATTCAACAATGATTCATCAACAAACTTTTTTTTAACGTAATCTATAATGTCTCCCTTCCAGATAGCACAATTTGGCACTAAACCAAAAGCTGCTGTCTCCTTGTAACAGCAATGTCCCTAAGACATACAACAACTGCCCAACAGACCGTAAGGCGATCTTGAGATGCAGAGAGACACCGCAGGGATCCGTCTGAGAGACCAGGACACGAGGACAGAACACAGACGAGGAAGGGCGATAAACAATTGTTCTGAAGGCGACATAGCAGGGAAAGATAAGGAAAGCGCAGGATTTAGCCACAGCGAGTTACTGTAACAAGAACATGTCTGAAATATTTAGAGTAGCTGGCGCTGTGTGACGGGAATTGAGATAGGGATGAACAATTAATAGAAAGATAGAGAGATAGATAGATAGATAGATAGATGGATAGACAGGTAAATAGAGAGATAGAGAGATAGAGAGAGAGAGAGAGAGAAAGAGAGAAAGAGGGAAAGGGGAAAAGAGAGAGATAAATGGAGGGATATGGACATAAATGTAGATCTAGAGCTGAAAAGCGGGATATAAGGTGAGGCAAGAGAGAGAGAGAGATGGTGTGAAGGAGAGAGAGAGAGAGAGAGAGAGAGAGAGAGAGAGAGAGAGAGAGAGAGAGAGAGAGAGAGAGAGAGAGAGAGAGAGAGGAACAAGGGAACAGCCTCTTTTGTGCCTGAACCGAGAAGCAAAATAAAGGAAGATGTGCTGACGGGGAAAGGGGGATTAAGTTTAGTGGGAGAACGCATTTCAAGCTTTAAAGGGATTTTTATGAAACAAATTCCCTCATAAATGAAATGAGTCGTGCGAACCGAAAACCCGGTGGTTCCGGGCGAAGAAAAGGAAAATGTATCATAGTTGGCGAAAAGAACAGTAGCCCAATTTGCACTGATATTGGAGTAAAAAAAAAACCAGCAGCTCCAATGAACTTGATGTTGACTATGTAGTTGTCAAAATGGACAAGTAGCCCAGTTTACATTTACTATAAAAGAGTTAAGGGGAATAAATGGAAGCCCAGATGTTGTTTCTTCTTTGGGATGAGCTTTGGAGTGGTGTTGTTGTTGTTTTTTTTGTAAGTGTATTACGGTTCTCGAAACTGCATAAGGTCATATGAGCACGTGGGACCAATTAAACATTTTCAGTTTGGTATGAATTAATTTGGAATCTGGCTCCGGTGGCGTCCGAAGCCTACTCTTATCGATTTTAGGACCACCAAAAAAATCTTTAATATGCGCAACTTGCACATGGGACCTCCGAGACTTCTCCCTTATCCAAGAAGGTTAGGTCTTAGATATTACCTTCTCAAAGATCAGGGGTGTGCCTGAAAGACAACAATATGAAGGTAGTATTTACGTATTTTTGTATTACATCTTCTCTTCATTCTGTGAAAATTTCAAGAAGATTGGATTTTAAAATGGTGGAGTTATTTTAAAAGTATTTAGAAAAACGAAGTTTCGAGAAAACGGGCTATAAGGGGAAAAAATTGACTTTAGGAGGAAATGGTAGTGACAAACATGCTTGGTATGAGAAGAAGTAAGGCTTTAGGGGGTTCTTATTCAATGAAATAGTTGTAACTGAGGTTGAAGAAGCTAGAAATATCTACAACATAAAATCCATAGTTTTAAGCCGAATCGGGACTTTCGAGGTGTAGCTCACCTTTATGAGGCGGGCGGGATGTTTGAGTTTCAAGTCCGTATTCGATATGACTAACAGCGGAAAACATTTTTAAAAGCTCGTCAAAGACCTCAAGTTCAATTCAAGATCATCAGGGCCTCTGGCCAATATGATACGAATAGTGCTAACGGTTTGCTTAAACAGATATAACTATCACGAAGGTAGATGATAACTGAAAAGGTAAGGAGGGACACTATTCGAATACTTTCTACAGAAATGTAGGCTTGAACTCGCATTCATTAATTAATAAGAGATAGTTTGCATATCGAGAACTTACTTTCAATAATAAGCTGCAGCTCGGGAGAGAACACCGCGAAAAGTAAAATAGGGAAATCCATATTGCATGTTTTCAGAAAACAATGGAAGAAAACAGGAGTGCTCCATCCTAAGAAAGAAAATAGGAAACGTTACGCACTTCGTAAATGAAACCACAAAAACATGAGGGAATTGGCAGGCCGTTAAGGCTCAAAGATTTTCGGCGTAGACGAAAAAAGAGAAGAGTGGTAAAGTGTCTGGCCGACGACAGAACACACGGTGTTGATGGATGGTTGAGGGAAGGAAAGATAGGTGGATTGTCTTAACAGATGGACGGATGGAAAATGCCTGCATAGAAGGGCAGGCAGACCGACAGACTGACTGACAGACAGACAGACAGACAGACAGACTGACAGACAAACAGACAGACAGACAGACAGACAGACAGACAGACAGACAGACAGGCAGGCAGACTGACAGACAAACAGACAGACAGACAGACAGACAGACAGACAGACAGACAATTTGGTTGATAGATAGATAGATAGATAGATAGATAGATAGATAGATAGATAGATAGATAGATACCGAAGCAAAACTGTCGACGGAATCGGATGACAAGACAAGACACTATAATAATTGTTCCCAGACGCTGGGTATCCACTCGGGGAGTGACTGTGCACAAAGAAGAATCGAAAACCTGGTGACAATTATTTTAATATATATAATATCATGACTACTTTGCCACCATAAATTCCTAGTTTCTGACCTGAAATCTCTTTTTTTGTGGTCATTTTCTCTTTTTATGGGTGCTGATGTGGCGTTTTGTTGGTGTGTGTTTTGTCAATAGGAGAAGAAAAAAGATGATAGATAATAATAGTGTTACTTTTAACTTGTAACTCTTTTTATCCATGCTTTCTTGTCTGCCTGTCTGTCTATCTGTCATTCAGTCTCTCTCTCTCTCACTCTCTCTCTCTCTCTCTCTCTCTCTCTCTCTCTCTCTCTCTCTCGCTCTCTCTCTTTTTTTTTCTTTCTTTCTTTCTCTCTCTCTCTCTCACACACACACACACACACACACACACACACACACACACACACTCCTTCTACCAATGAGAGAGCCCTCGTGTTTCTATGTCTTTTTTAAAGAATAGATATATCATAAAAAGAGATATAAAGAAAGAGAGAGAGAGAAAAGAGACAAAGGGAGAGATAGAGAGAGACAGAGAGAAGCAGAGAGAAGAGAAAGATACACATACACAAAGGGAGGGGGAGAGAGTGATAGCCGGCGACAGACAGCAACAGATACAGAAACAGAAAGAGGTAGGAAGATGTGGTTATGTATTTAAAGAGAATTGAAGAGAGTGGGCGAGAAAAAAAAGAGAGAAAGAAAAGAGAGAGGGAGAAGAGAGTGGAAAAGAAGAGAGAGAGAGAGAGAGAGAGAGAGAGAGAGAAAGAGAGGGGGGGGGTTATTGTGGGAGGGAGGAGCAGTAATACAAATTCGGTGCTTCCTGTATGAACAAGAGCAGGGAAAACACTGAAGCGATAACTCAATATCTCTGTGAAATGGATGTGGAGGTGGGAACATAAAGCGTAGTCGACAAAATTCCACTGGGGCAAATAATCGTAATTACTAGGGCAAAGACATATGGCCATTAATCATTACGAACGCCACTTGTCTCTGTATGACAATCTTGCATCCATTGGTGTCACGACGCGGTGGAATAAGGCGTGCGTAAGTATTTTTGGGTATATGGAGTTATTTGTATAATCGTTAAAAGTGTTCATTTGTTTATCTTTTTTATGAAGGAAATACCCATCTATCTTAAATAGAAGTCAAGCTAACTTGTGATTGAAGGAGAGCGGGAGTCAACTGGTTTCATAGATAAAATTGGCGAGAAAATGGCCGTCAAAGTTTGCTGGCTTCAGAGTCCTTAGAAACTGAACATTAACAATTTGTTTGTGCGTCTAACAAGGTTTTTTTTAAATCTTCAGAACAATTCCACGCGGAGGTGTGATTTTAAAGGACAAGAAATGTGTTCAACCAAAAATCAAAAGGTTCTAACAAAATTTCCAGACTGGTGGGAAAATGTCGGTGCATTCTATTTCACTATTTTCACGAGCGCCTGATTTCACCACGATGCCTCACATATACGAGGTATGGAAATACGTGAAACAGCACCAGTCTGGGCACACATCTGTTTCTCCGTGGGCCATAAAACACATAAATATATAATCCATATAAAGGACATGTATCCAATACTCCAACCTTCTTTCTCGTACATGCTCTCAAGTGTTAAACAAAACCTGAAAACAACGAAAACCAAAACAAAACGAGCAACAGAAACTTACCCGTTCCATTCATAGTGAAATTGTCCTCAGGAGACATGTTGAGCATTAACTATCAAGACCAAGACGAAGAATCCTGTGAAGAATTCAAAGACATAATTTGTAAAAAATCTCAGATACTTTATAATATTATGATCATTCTGTTTGATTAAAATGTGCTGCTGTGAGAGAATATTAGATTTTAAAATTAAAACAGCTATTGCATGGGTCTGACGCCCCTTCCACCATTGTAAACTTTTTTTTGGTAAAGTGGAACATCTTAATTTAACGTCCATTTCCAATAGGATGGACCCAAAAAAATAGAAAGCCTTGAAATCTCCATAACTGGACCCCCCTCCTACCACCCACCACTAAAATAAATCCAGAGCGTCTATTTTGTAATTAAAAAGTAGGATCATCTGCACCTCAGCCCAGTCATTACAAGAGAACAAACCGAGCACCGGTTTGTTTGTTTGTTGTTGTTGTTGTTTTTTGCATTAGATAGAAAATGTCGGACTGGAGAAGGCGCAATGCTACTTGAATGTATCTTAAACTTGCAGTACAATGAGTTGCATAGAAAGTCCAAACAGACGTGATCGCGTTGTACTCATACATTGAGTACTTCTTTTTCTGTAGTGGCACTGTTCCATTTTCTCGTCTTCAGTGCAAGATAGGCTGCACGCATCATGTCAAAAAGGAAAGCCATCCACTAAACTCAGTCATCTTACTTGAATCGACTTACGTTAGCAGTATTGATAACACAGGTTACATCATGATAGCAGATACGTTCCAAGTTTTGTCCACAGATGGACATTTCATTCCTCATGCCTCAAGAACATCAGCATTTGCAGCCCATGTACCTTCTGGTGGACTGCTGTTGTTATGTTTGACCGTTACAGAAAAAAAGAACATTGTTGTCGTCTTTAACTCTCAACTGTCATTTCGTGTCGTCTTCATTCCTTTTTTCCTCCCCCTCCCTCCCTCTCTCTCTCTCTCTCTCTCTCTCTCTCTCTCTCTCTCTCTCTCTCTCTCTCTCTCTCTCTCTCTCTCTTTCTCACTCTCTTTTCTCTCTTTCAGTCTAGACTGATTTGTATAAATTCCATCTCCTAACTGCGTAAGCTGATAATCATCCGGGTATTGACCACTTATTGCTCTCTATCTGTCTATCTTTCTCTCTCTCTCTCTCTCTCTCTCTCTCTCTCTCTCTCTCTTTCTCTCTCTCTCTCTTTCTCTCTCTCTCTCTCTGTCCATCTCTTTTTTTCTCTCTCTCTCATTCACTCACTCTCTATCTATCTATCTATCTATCTATCTATCTATCTATCTATCTATCTATCTATCTATCTATCTGTCTATCTCTCTATTTATTTATTAGTCAATATATCCATCAGTCTGTCTGTCTTTCTATCTATCTATCTATCTATCTATCTATCTATCTATCTATCTATCTATCTATCTATCTATCTATCTATGTCTACAATTATTGAATCATCAACCGAGTTGAAAGGGGCTTCAGAGCTATTGTCGATGGACAGAGGTGGAACTTCTTACCTTAAGGTAAGGAAAGTGAATATTTATGATTCCACCAGCTGCTGCTATCCACATTTGAATAGAGGTCCACGATACTAAATCTGTGTGAAGCTACTGACACAGAGACACGGTGTTCCTTTTGGGACAGATGACCAGTCCTAGAACGCTTGTCCTGTTTTTAATAGTGACTAACATCCCACAAGTCCTTAACAAATCGGACAGACGGCCGGTTGTCACACGAGGGGGCGCTAACGACATGCATGCTGAATGCGCGCGCTCGGCACCAGGTCAGTTCGCCACCCCCACCAGGCGCTGGGTCTGGCACCGTGGGCCTGTGTGTCCAGGTCGCACGCGCTCTGTGGCGGGAGATAAGGGACCGACCAGGCGCTGTGACATGTGGAGGGATGGGTGGGGTGGTAGGGGTGGGGGGATGGGGTGCTGAGAGAGCCGCTGTGATGACATGTGAAGAAAAAAGAGGGGAAGGGGGATTGAGGAACACTATGACTAGTGAAGGTGGGAAGAGTGTGGGGGTGGAAGTGGAAGACTGATTGACACTGGGGTGCGAGTAGAGGGACGAATGCCAAGGGATCAGTGCCTGGGGACGTCACAAAGATTGGGATGCGATAGAGTACACTGGTTTTTTACTTGGTCTATTGATTAATATATTGAGATGTTTATGAACCTTCTCTTGTACTGAGCTGATGTTACCAGTGCTTATTGGGGGGGGGGGGTGGTCATGGATGAGGCAACAACCCTGTACCTAGAATCAGATGTGCTACGGTTTAAGGAATTGGTCACAGACAAACAAACTGCTTTCTGCCTAATGTGCCTGACGGTACAAGAAGAGAGTAAGTAAGTAAAACTCGCCCAAAAATGTCGAGGAACAACTTGTGTTTTCACCTGTCAAATTTAAACTTCAATATCTCACAAACCCGTTATGATCAGTCAACCAAACTTGGCACATGCACCGACGACTAGATACAGTTTGCCTCCACAGCAAATTTACCCGCACCAGCTTCACAGCGACGGCGCAGGGCATTCTGAAACACAGCCGAAAAACATGAAAAATGGGCTAAATTTCTCTACTTCAGCAACATTGGCATAGGGACAGTTAACTAAAACTAAGCTTGGCATGTGCTAACAGATGCCTTAGCTGTGAACATTGCTCACTTACAACTCTTTATAAGCCAGCGTTTTTCAGCCATGTTTCATTACAACACGGTGGTCCAATGATGCTCGCTGCCTGACGTCGACAGAAGACGAGCCCTTACCTGGCTCCAAGATGGCCCCACGTTCCCAGTTTTTGCACATCGACTTGGGGTGTCCCCATCAGTCATATAGAGGCTGCAAGAACGATAGCGAGCGACCGAAAGGGTCCAAGACAGGCCTCGACCAGGGTCGCCCCGTTTGACCAACGACAGCACAGACCGGTTCATCGTCAGACAGGTCGTAACGTCACGAACCACCACTGCAAACGGCATCAGGGACCAACTTCGGGTGACAGCCAATATCCACGAGAGCGAGGAGACGGTAAGGAACCGTATCCGTAGAGCCAGGTTCGCTTCTCGTGTACCTGCCAGGCGCCCAAGGCACACGCCGCCCCACAAAGCAGCTCACCGGTCGTGGTCTGCTCGCCATTCACAGAGGACACAATATCAGTGGGACCAGGTAGTCTCCTAGGACGAATCAAGATTCAACCTCCTGCACCCAGATAGGCGAACATACGTTTGGAGGCGCCGAGGAGAGCTGTTCCACCCTGAGTGCATCCAGTAGGTGGCGCCCTACGGTGGAAGGTCCATTCTGATGTGGGGAGGCTTCTAAGATCACCACAGGACCCCCCTGTACCATATACAGGGCAATCTGACTGCGGCAGGGTACAGGGACAAAATCCTACGTCCCCATGAAGTTCCTCTCCTGCAACAGATTGGACCCCAGGCTGTACTGGAGAACGAAACGCCACACCACATCGGGCACGCATCGTGGGGGAGCGAGCTGTCACCCGCATTGACTGACCAGCTTGTAGTCCCATTTGAACCCAACAGAGAACATTTGGGATCACATTGACCGGTGGATAAGGGACAACCACCCTCATGCACAAAACCTTCAACAACTCTTGGGCTGCCTCGTCCAGGAATGGCAGAACCTACCGCAACAAGTTCTCCGAAGGCATGTCCTGTCCATGCGTCGACGCTGTGCCGAGTGTTGGATCAACCAGGGTGGCTAAACCCGCTATAGACTATGTTCATGAAAAACTATGGCTATTCAGACTTTTGAAATCCCACCAGTGTGACTTAAACTAAATTTACATGAACTTCTCATTGTTGTTGAAATCTGAAAAGGAATAAATTCGGTCAAACTGTTCTTCAGTTATCTTTCTTTGAATTTTTGTTCCTTGAATTTTTGTGCGAGTTTAGATAGCTGGGGAACTGAGATAGCATCGCTACTACTCGGTTGAGAACTGGGAAGAGGAAAGTTCTTGTGGGTAAGGGTGTTTTTGGGGTTGTTGTTTTTTTGTATAGGGATTTTGGGGTAGGGAAGAGAGATTATTAAGGAATTGTTTGGAAAAGCTTGTTATTTCTTAAAAGATGTTGCTCTAAAGTAATGATAAAAAGAGAAAAGTATGTGGAAATAAATGTTGTGTGCAATTTATAAAAAAGCAAGCTGCTAGTTAAGGGCGGAAACACTGGAGAAGATGTTCGATCACCCCCTCCCCTTTTTTCCCACTGCACACTCACATGCACACACACACACACACACACACACACACACACACACACACACACACACACACACACACACACACACACACACAACACGTGAACTTAGTCCTGAATGCCAGCAGAATGGAAGTACTTTTGTTTTTTCTCAACATCCCCGTAGACGTTCTGATAATATAGCACTAGCAGTCTAGCAGTCTAGCAGGAACGTAGAGAAATCCGCGATACGCCTTTTCTTCTGGCCTATGGCGATTTTTTTTTTTGGGGGGGGGGTACTTTTCTA